AGGGGGGAGGGGGGAGGGGGGGAGGGGGGAGGGGGGGAGGGGGGAGGGGAATTCGGCGCCTTCCAGCAGAAGTGTCCCCCGTAGACCGCGGCGGTCTGGCCGTCAATGTCAAATTTTTGACAATGCACCCCACCATTGCAGGGGATGTAGGCCGACAGCCCCTGGTGTCTGCTATTCTTGTAAAGGACCTCTCTGAGAGAAGTACCACCCGACTTCGCCTGATGCATGAAAAGCAGCGGCCGTCTCTTCGACACGTGCTTGTTGACCGCCGGTGGCTTGGAGTAGACGAACTTCGAAATCAAGCCGTGGATGCGCTCGGCCGGAGTCCTAGGGCTCACGTCCACACCCTCGACAACCCAAGGGTCCATACACCAGAAAGGGACCCGGTGAAAACACCCTTAGACCCTACACTCCACCCCAAGCCCTAGTTGCTAACAGATACTTGGCTACTCGCACCAGTTGTTGCTGTCAGCTGGCCTGTAGCGTCCATCCTTCGCAAGGCTTGCGTTCGCCTCAATCTGAAGCTCGTCCTTATCTTCCTCATCTGGTACTTCATCTTCTTCTGAATCTGCTTTCACATCGATGGGGCCTACAATCTCCTCAGGCTCCTGGTCTTCCTTCTCGTGCTCCAGGTGCGCATCCTTCTCCAAATGAGAGTCTTCGGGGTCTTCATCAGCTGCATCTTCTGTGTCATGATCATGGTGAGGCTTGGAAGCATTCGTGCTGGAGTTGGACAAGGCCACCGACACCACAATCTGCTCGTCCAGCGCCGACTGGGTTAGCTGCAGGGCGGTGATCACGTCATATTCCGCCTGACATCCAGGCATGGCCATGAAAAAGGGAGCCGATCATGTACGGAGTAAGCCCTGAACCCGAAACTACTACTTGCTAAAGAACCACCGGAAACTACAAGTAGCCTTCCCAAATAAGGCAATGTAGGGACAATAATTCTTAATTTATGTTGGGCGCCCCCCCTTGTGTTCGGAAACGCCCCCACCCCAATTCTACGAACGACTGACACGCCGTGGCCTGCACACCCCACGCCAGCACGAAGAGCAAGAAGGAAAACATGCTTTCCTGCCGCAACAACTTTCCAAGGGTAGGGTAGGGTCTAGGGTTTAGGGTCAGGTTTAAAGTCTAGGGTTTAGGATTTAGGGTTTAAGGTTTATACATGGTCCCTTAGTACGTGCCCCTCAGAAACTTCTTGGGATGACCCAAACACACTAAGCTGACTGTGAGCTAGTAGCGTGGATGAATATAGTTCATACTACCCATGCCATTCCGTCATTCCCTCTGAGCCAACAGGAAACAGGTGCAACCGGCACCAGGTATTACCACTGCGCGGTCCTGGCAGCCAGATTAGCCAGGGAGCCTCGTGTCTTCGTTTGAAGATCAGCCCCCCACGCTATATGTAGGTTCGTTGGAGCCCCAAGGCTGCAGCCGTCGGTGCAACATGAGCTAAACCAGAACACCAAAAGCAAGGCTCCACATCCTTGACTGAAACGAACCCCGAAGCCCGAACCCCGAAGCCCGAAGCCCGAAGCCCGAAATCTTAACCCAATTCACAAAGTCTCGGCTTCAACCAAACCCGAAGAGGGAAACTCAAAGAAGCTCTGGAAATCTTGAGGACCTTGACCACCTACACCCAGACAGCTTTCCCATGAACTTTGCAAGAACGAGGGGCTGGTGGGGGAAGGGGGGTGGGGGTGAAGGGGACCTTTTTTCGGGTCGGCTGGGGTAGAAGCATTCTCTTGCACCTAAGGGGTACCCCGATGTTCGGGGGAACCCCTCAGGAACTGCTTTGGGGCCCCTTTGTCAAGAGTGTGATGCGCGGGTTTTTTGGCTCGATCCGCATCGGGGTCGGAGCAGCGGCATAGCCTGGTCAGGGAGGTGCAGGGGGTTTAGGGTTTAGGGTTTAGGGTTTAGGGTTTAGGGTTTAGGGTTTAGGGTTTAGGGTTCAGGGTTCAGGGTTCAGGGGTTTCGGGTTTAGGGTTTGGGGTGTTTGCTTCGGGGGTTGCAGCAAGGACCCTTGGGGGATTTCCGGCTTCCAGGCTCGGAGGGCTGTGGGCTGATCGCATCACACCGGCCGGCCTCCTGTACCAGCAGGCCTGCCGCTGCCAATCCTTCATTGGGCTAAGCCCTAAACCCTAAACCCTGAACCCGAAACCCTAAACCCCCTCAAAACCCGAAAACCCCAAACCCTAAACCCGAAACGCTAAATCCCGAAACCCTAACAACCCTTAAACCCTAAAACCCGAAACACTAAAACCCGAAACCCGAAACCCTAAATCCGAAAACAATGAAAGTTCGGGAGTTGCAGTTGGAGAGAGCTGAGGGCCGTCCTGAGCCAGCGCACGGCGCCGTGGCTCGGCACCTTTGCGAACGGGTTTGGGGTTTAGGGTCTTGGGTTTGAGCTTTAGAGTTTAGGGATTAGCGTTTAACTTAACCCAGACAAACCACTGCTAAGCCCCAAGCCCCCCCCCCCGCCCCGCCCCGGCCTTGAAACACCGAACAAGCAAGGAACCCCAGAGCGTCGGGACAGAAACCAAGTGCCGCAGACCCTCAAAGTGTTGACCGCTCAATTCCCCCAGCTCAACCCTAAAAAGCCATAAAGCTTCCCCCCCCCCCACCCCTCCCCCCACAGCCCCCCAGAGAGAGAGAGAGAGAGAGAGAAAGAGAGAGAGACGAAGAGAGATCGAGAGAGAAGTACCACGTGGTCCTGAGCATCCCCACCCGAGCTCATGGACCGAAGCTTGGTAGCTCGGCTCTCCAGCCCTCCCAGCACCGTCGCTCCTGCTGCGCAGGGCTGAGGATTGCGGAGTACAGGATTTCGGGGCTTGCGGGGGTTGAGGGAGGGTGGAGGGTTGAGGTTTGAGATGGTATGCGGTTCTAGGGCTTTGGGTGCGCAGCTTCGGCGATTCTTAGAGTTTAGGGCATCCTGGGTGTGAATCGCGTGCTCTGTGACCCTTAGCCTCTTATGTGAGGGCTTGGGGTTTAGGGTTTAGGGTTTAGGGTTTAGGGTTTAGGGTTCAGGGTTCAGGGTTCAGGGTTCAGGGTTCAGGGTTCAGGGTTTAGGGTTTAGGGTTTCGGGTTCAGGGTTTAGGGTTTCGGGTTTAGGGTTTAGTATTTAGGGTTTAGGGTTTGGGGTTTGGGGTTTGGGGTTTGGGGTTTGGGGTTTGGGGTTTGGGGTTTGGGGTTTGAGCCCTTAATTAGGGCTTAGGGTTTAGGGTTTAGGGAGGCAAAGCCGCGCGCCCCCTCTCCAGCGGCAGCAGGATAATGTCCTCCTACGCCCGCGGCTTGCCGCTGGCCCAAGTGTCTTTGCCCAGACGGTCCAGCAGCCCCAAAGACCCCAGAGAGGACCCGCACAGAAAACAGCCCTGGACCACCCCTCTCTGGAAAGTGACGTGAGTGGAGGCCAGAGTACCGGCCCACAAACGGGCACCGCAAACTCCAGGTAATTGTTTGTGGATTTGGATCTCATGATCAGGGAACCCGGGAACTGAAGCCCAAAGCCCTGAACCCGCATGGATCGGAAGGAGCCTCGCTGCACCCACTGCATGACGTCGCCCTGTTGCGAAAGGTAGGGAAGGGGGGTCAGGCCGCAACATCCGGGAAGTTTTAGGGTTTGGGCTGTTGAGGGTTTGGGGCTTCAGGGTTTGGGCTGTTGAACCCTAAAACCTGAACCCTAAACCCAGGTGTTTGGGGTTCAGGGGTGTAGGCCATAAACCGAATGAAGCGCCTCGGCCATCTTCACGTCCTCCGCTGCAGACACGCACAGCCTGACGAGTGGCTCACATGGCTTGGCGTTTGAGGTTTGGGGCTTTTGGCCTCGGGGTTTTAGGGTTTAGGGCTTAAGGTTTAGAATGGGGCTTGAGACAGCTAAGGGTAGGAATGGCGAAGGGGTTTGAAAGCGTCCCGATACCGAAAAGAAAGCCCCGCTGCTAAAACCCGAGAACCCCAAACCCTGGAGCAGTACAGCCTCGCCTCCTCCAGCAAACCCGAAAACCTCCAAACCTCCAAACCTCCAAACCTCCAAACCTCCGAACCTCCAAACCTCCAAACCTCCAAACCTCCAAACCTCCAAACCTCCAAACCTCCAAACCTCCAAACCTCCAAACCTCCAAACCTCCAAACCCTAAGCCCGGAACCCTAAACCCTAAACCCTAAACCCTAAACCCGGTCCGAGGTTCGCGCTTGAGACCCTGGTAGAGGAAGGCGCCGTAGGCGCCCTGAGTCGAAGCCTGCACTTTGAAGCTTTGTGCGGTTTAGGGTTTAGGGTTTAGGGTTTAGGGTTTAGGGTTTAGGGTTTAGGGTCTAGGGTCTAGGATCTAGGGTTTAGGGTTTAGGGTTTAGGGTTTAGGGTTTAGGGTCTAGGGTCTAGGATCTAGGGTTTAGGGTTTAGGGTTTAGGGTTTAGGGTTTAGGGTTTAGGGTTTGTTTTAGGAATGTAAAGCTGTGAAAGTTGATGTTGAGCCCTTGATTCAGGGAACCCTAGACTGACTACTGCGCATGACTCAATCCCACCTCGTCAGCGTTCCAGGCGAGCGCCTGGCGAAGGCTGGACCGCTGAAAGTTCCAGGAATTCCGGACTCGCTTGCGGGGGGGTGGAAGGGGGTTTAGGGCTTTAGGGTTTCGGGCTGAGGGTTTAGGGCTTGGGGCTGTTGAGTTTTGGCCCTGTATGGTAACCTCACTATACGCAATACAGCTTAACCCCCTAAAAAAAACACACACACACACACAACAACTCTCGCCCCTAAACCTGGAACATCAGATTGAGCCCCCAATCCTGAACCCTGAACCCTGAACCAACAGCCCACAAAACCCTAAACCCCTAAAGCCCTAAACCCTAAACTCCCAAACCCTAAACCCTAAACCCTAAACCCTAAACCCTAAACCCTAAACCCTAGATCCTAGACCCTAGACCCTAAACCCTGAACCCGAACTCAAAACTAATCCGGTCCCCGGTGCCCGAAGCACCAAAGTTGGCCTCACGAGACGCTGCCAGCAGCAACTGCCAGGCATCCTGCAGACGTAAAGGCCTACGGTGGGTTTAGGTTATGGGGTTTGGGGTTTGGATTTGGGGTTTGGGGCTTGGGGTTTGGGGTTTGGGGTTTGGGGTTTGGGGTTAAGGGTTTGGGGTTTAGGGTTTAGGGTTTAGGGTTTAGGGTTTAGCGTTTAGGGTTTAGGGTTTAGGGTTTAGGGTTTAGGGTTTAGGGATTACTGGTCCTCATACAGACAGCACTTCCGCAGCGACTTGGCAAGCAGCAGCTGCACCTCGGAGGTGCGCAGCTAGACCCACGAGTAAAAAGAGGGTATAGGGTTAAGGGTTTAGGGTTTGGGGTTTAGGGTTTAGGGTTTAGACAACCCTAACCCAGGCACTAAACGGGCGCCCCCTTGTTGGTTCAAAGGGGATTTTTGAGCGAACCGAAACTCCAAAAACGGCAAAACTGAGTGCAGGTTTTCGCATTTAGGGTTTAGGGTCCTCCCGTGTTACCCAACATGCTACGACTATCCTTCTTGTAGACTGCACACCAGAAGCAGCAAGCGCGATACCCAGCCAGCAACATCGAAGAGATGTGGAGCCCCAGTCTCAGACTGTGCGCCACACGACGGTGTGCCACTGCAGGGTTTCTCCACCGCTTCCGCCCCAGGCCTGAAGCTGGGCTTAGGGTTTAGGGTTTAGGGTTTAGGGTTTAGGGTTTAGGGTTTAGGGTTTAGGGCTTAGGGTTTAGGGCTTAGGGTTTAGGGCTTAGGGTTTAGGGTTTAGGGTTTAGGGTTTAGGGTTTAGGGTTTAGGGTTTAGGGTTTAGGGTGTAGGTTTTAGGGTTTAGGGTTTAGGGTTTAGGGTTTAGGGTTTAGGGTTTAGGGTTTAGGGTTTAGGGTTTAGGGTTTAGGGTTTAGGGTTTAGGGTTTAGGGTTTAGGGTTTAGGGTTTAGGGTTTAGGGTTTGGGCTTTAGGGTAGGGGTTTAGGGTTTAGGGTTTAGGGTAGGGGTTTAGGGGTTAGGGACTCATACCTTCGAGGCTGACACCTGAAGCTGGGCTTACGGACCGCCCTCGTCTGAGGTTCCAAGTA